TATATATATACACACACACATACACACACACACACACACACACACATACACACATTGTATATAATTTTATATTAACCAGCTACAACTTTTTAATTTTTATGTTTTTAAAGTTTTGCTATTTTAGTTTTGTCTTTTGAATAACTGTTTAATCTATAGCTGCATTTAAAAAAATTATTTATCACAATTATTTAAACAGAAGAGTCCCTGGAGGACTAGTGGTTAGGCCGCAGTGCTCTCGCCGCTGCTGCCCAGGATCAATTCCAGGCCAGGGAACAGACCCCAGCCACCGGTGTTGCGTGCAACAGTGCGCTCTCAGGGCCAGTCCCAAGACCAGATAAAATTGGGGAGGGTTGCGTCAGGAAAGGCATCTGGCGTAAAAACTGTGCCAAATCAAATACGAGGACCAGTGATCTGCTGTGGCAACCCCTAACGGAAACTACTGAAAGAGGAACAACATTTAAAGAGAAGCATCCTGATGAGCCATTTGTAGGCTCATTTTAACCTCAAGTGTTTAAAGACATTTGAAAGCCCTTCTACACGGTCATTAAAATGACCAGCTGAGACACTTCGTCAGTGTGGCATGGACAGTTCAGCAAATTAACCATGATCCAGTCATTTCCACCACCAAGTCAACCATGCTGTGTCCAAGTACCCATGTTGAATTTGGTTATATTTCTTGTATGTATGTACATATGTACACACATATATATATACATACATATACACATACACACACACACACTATATAGGCTCACTTTAGTTTGTAAAAGCAAAAGAGCAAAAGCTTCTTCTCTCACTCACCATGTTCAATGTCATATTAATGAGAAATTCAACACAGATGTAGTGGAGACGGCAAATACTGGACTCAAAATCCCAGAATGCAATGCAGCTATATGACACAATCACAGTTATGGCAAAGACTCGGCTCAGCTAGATAGTGATCTACAAGAAGCATGATGGTGTTGACAGCGATGTTAGACCTTTATCTGTTAAAGGTAACAGAGCTGGAAAGCTCTAAAGGACTAAAGAGCTGTTGCATTGCTCTCTTTAGGTAGAGATGAAGCAAGGGCTAAATCCCACAGGCTGTAAAATGGCATGATGGAAACCAATAGCCAAAGTATAGCCAAAGTTTAATATACCGACATGTTAATGAAAGAAGCTGTATAAAAAAAAATAAATAAATAAATTATAATAAAAATAATTTTAAAAAAAACCTAAAGCTAAAAGAAACACCACTGTAGATCACATGTTATAAAGATTAGCATGCAAGTGGTTTAGGGTGCATTTTTCCTTTAAAGATTTTTGGGTCTGGCGATGTTAAATCCAGGGAGGAAGCCTTACCTTGATGACAGCCTTGCTGAGACAGAGTGATCCTCTGCAGCCATACTCTTGCTCATGCTCTGACTTATAGTAGCTTAGTGTGTTGTTCTTCAGTACAACCCAGCGGTCCTGCCACCCATGGATATAGTTGGTCCACTGAAAGTAAAGCACAGACCCATTCTTTATAACACCATGTGGGAGACTCGTATGAGCATTTCTCTAGTATTTATTACTATAAGTATAAAAGGATTTTTGTGCACATTACCTAATGAAAAACATCTACATTTGTATATAAATGTAAAATAAGGTACCACCTTAACCACAGAGCTACCACCTTAAATCACGGAGCTACCACCTTAACGATGAGAGAGATCAGATGAGAATGACCTGACTGGTTTGAGCTGGTATAGTAACTCAAACAACCACTCTACCGTGGTGAGCAGAAAAGCATCTCAGAACACACAACACATCAAACCTTGAGGAGGATGAGTTTCAACAGCAGAAGACCACACCAGGTTCCACTGTCAGCCAAGAAAATCCCAGGAGATCAGCAGTTTCTGAAATACTCAAATCAGCCCATCTGGTACCAACATCCATGCCACAATCAAAGTCACAGAGATCACACTTTTTCTTCAGTCTGATGTTTGATGTGAACAGTACCTGAAGCTCTTGACCTGTACAAGCATGACTTTTTGCACTGCACTGCTGCCACATGATTGGCTGATTAGACAACGGCATGAATGTTCAGGTGTTCCTAATAAAGTGGATGGTGAGGGTACAGTACGTCTGTATGTTGACTGATCTAAAGCAAATACTTGTATATACACATAACTCATTTAAAGGTAAGAAGTGCTGCTTTGTTTACTTCTGACATGCAGCCACATCGATTTGAAGTCACTCCGTAAACAGGGAAGGGACTCGTAGTTGACGAATCTCAAGTTGACGAGTAGGAATTTTAAGTTGAGGGGGCTTTTCCTGGTTGGAGGTTGGGAATTACAAGTTGTGACCTTGAGCTGATCGCAGCATAAGCCCCGGCTCCCTCTCTAAAGCTTACAAAACTTCAACTTTCATTCAACATCATCTTGCTTGTCATCTCATAGACTGTTAACTGGTCTCTGCTGTAACAGCGTAAATCCCCAGCATATAGCTGCTTTGCATTCTGAGACTTCCAGCTGCTGTCTCCACTTCCTCTTTGTTGGATTTCTTATTCATATGACATGGAATGTTACTGAAAAACGGTGAGTGAGAAAAGAAGCTCTTTTGTTGTTTTCCAGCCAACAGTGAAACCTGACCTGTCTGAGATCACTGAAACGTCGTCTCCTATTGAACACTATTGTACCTGCGCCTACAATGTCCTCCATGTGACATCAGAGTGAGAGACAACCGCAAACTTCTCACCGCAATAAGAAAAATAAAACACTAATAAACAAATCAGCACCAGAAACACTAAAGACCTCACAAGTGTCAATATAAACAGATTTATTGCGTGTCAGGGTGAGGTTTTTCTTGAAATCTCCGGTTTAAGGAGTGAACAGGTGTCCTTAACACATGGAGTCAGGAAGACTGCACTGCAGACCGCAGCATGTCGCAGTCAAATGTTTAATCAGTTTACAGCTTGTAGTAGTTTTTTATTATTATTATTATTAATTTAATAATGTAAAATTAGTGAGTGTGATGTATAAGCTACCTTGCTGAGGGTTCCCGCGAGCTCGTCCGCTTGCTCCGATTCAGGATCCACATCTTCATCTGAACTCTGGTCAGACATGAGCCAAACTGGGACGAGTTCAGGCGGCTAGCTACCTTACACCACGTCTTATTTCTCCGTTTTTCTTTATAAAGAACTTCACCTTTTGTATCCGAGCTCGGTAATTTAGCTTTTTTTTTTTTTTTTTTTTAATTTATCTGGAGACGTGCCGAACTAAGTTGAGACGCAGTTTGCCAACACGGAGTTCATGTAAATCCTCGCGCGCGCTGTGAGTAAACAGTAGCTCTAGCTAGCAAGCTAACGACATGACAACAAATAGCAAATTATTTCGGATTATTTAACAGTAATTTATTTAACTTCATAAACAACGCAGTAGACACTTCAAAAAAAAAAGGCAACTTTTCCCTCCTTACAGTCCTGCCAGAAGCCTCAGTTTTTGTTTTTCGACTGTCACCAAAAAGACAGCGACCAAAATGTCGGCTGCTGGAACTGAAAGTGTTTTAAAGATACGTTACAAAACGCTTCAGCAAATTAACGACTTAGTAAGAACTCTAACCAATTTGTTATTATTTAAACTCGGGTTTAGTCGCGCGCTGTGTTTGTGTGCGTGTATGCAGCTGACACGGAAAAAGCCTGGGTCTTGTTATTGTCCCCCTGTAGGCCGTGCAAAATACTGCAGCGTGTCATATAACTACACCATGAGACTAATGTGCTATTAGTCCACAATGTTTAAAGGTGCAGTTGGTGATTTTTAAATGTTTTAGACATATGATGGATATTGTAGACTTGTACTTAATAGTTGCTGCTGCTGCAATAATAAAACCTCATCCCAGGACTCTTACTCACAATATGCTCATAGTGAAGTGGCCAGGACAGAGCCCTGACCTTAACCCAACTCAACACCTTTGGGATGAACCGACACCGAATGCACCCCCAGACCTCCTCACCCAACATCAGTGCCTGATTTCACTAATGCTCTTGGGGCTGAATGAGCACAAATCCACACAGCCACGCTCCAAAATCGTTGAAGAACTGTTATATCACAAGTGAGTGGGTGAGATCGGATGTTCAACAAACACATATGGGTATGATGGTCAGGTCAGGTGTCTGCATCTGTGTATCTCAGAAAAAAATCACAATGTTGTAATTCATTCATTCATCTTCGGTAAGCACTTTATCCTGGTCAGGGTCACAGGCTACCCTGGGAACACTGGATATTAGGCAGGAATACACTTTGGATGGGATACTAGTTTATTGCAAAGTCAACATGCACACACACACACACACACACACACACACACTCAGTCACGCTTAATTTAACCAATCCAGTCCACCTACTGGCATGTTGTTGAGAGGGGAGGAAACCAGAGAACCCGGAAAGAAACCCATGTAGACACGGGGTGAACATGAAATGATACCAGTGACCCTGACCCCTTCTGCTCTCCAGAGTTCTCATCGGTTAGAGATCGCTTGCTGCTGTTGGGGGGTGGCCCCACATGGACGGCGTGAAGATCATTGGGATTGCTGGGGATGGCGCCACCTGGGGGCCATGGAGATGGCTTGGGGATCTCATATGGGGAGTTGTACTGTGGTGGCTTGGGGCTGCGGTTGCCACAAGCAGTTTTGCACTCAGGTCTCCATCAGTGGACAGTGAAGTGAATAGGTTCAACACAACAGTTCACACAGTCTGTAATTAATGCGAGCTCAGGATGGAATCATGGACCCTGGAGCTGTGAGGTAGCAATGCTACCCTAACACCATTTAGTAATAAAGCAAATAATCATTCCAATAAAAGTCAAATTAGTAAAATAATAAAATCACATTATGTGTCTATAATGGAATGAATGAGGTGAAGACTGGAATGCTAGAAGTTAGAACTGCTTTAGTCACTTTACTTCAGTTAGCATTACATTTATCTGGCTCACATTAACAGCCGCCTTTGTGTCTTGATAATTAAATGCAATAGCATTAGCCTATTATATGCTTATATTAAATTTATGTTAATATCTACACTGCAATCTTCACCACTGTAGGAATATCTAGGAAATTATGTTTTACTCAAATCAGGCACCAGGTGCTGTGTGCTGGGGTGAAGTCACATTAATTAATAAGTGCTCATTATCTTGCCCAACTCATTCCGGGACAAAAATATCATGATGCATGTGCAGGGGTGGGGTTGATCTGGGAGAGGAAGGCTTGTCTATAGGTGTGTTTGACGTAACACAGGTCTCAGCTTGATCAACGTGTC